ATATATTTGATCAAGCATATAAGAAGATTATTGAATGATAATTTGATGTAAAATTTAATTCTTTGTATTTGATATATTTAAATAAATAATAGGCGGTGATATTGATACTTATAGTTGAGATTATATTGATTATGAGATATCACTTAGAGATCAAGGTAAGATAATGCTCAAATTAATTTTAATAATTAACGAAATATGTTAAATCAAATTATTTAACGAATTTATTAATTAATTTTAATTTTAGGAATAAGATCGAAAGTATCAAACAATAAATATTACTGTTGTGGCTAAGATCATTAAATTTATTCATTATTAAATGTTCACAAATAATTAAATAAATAAATTATTAATTAATTAAATAATCTTAAAAAAAAATAGATTGAAAATCATAAGCGAACAAATCAGATCAAATTCATATATCCTCTAATTCTCTGTTGATATTTATGTAAATATAATAATTTAATCATAATTTCCTTATATTTTTAAATGGAAAATTATTTATTTAAAAAATCATTAAGGTATTTTTTTTTTTTTAAAAAAATATTGAATTTAACATCAACCTTCAAGAATCGAGAAGGTTATTACCAATGCAATAAATTATTTCTACATTCTAATCAATAAATCGTGAAAGAGGGATTAGTAAGTTCTAATTAAATAATCGATTCGATTATAATTTGAATTATTTTTTATTTGTTTTTCTTTTTTTTAATTTTTTTTTGATTTTTTTTTTAATTTCTTTTAATTTTTTTAATTTTTATTAAAGCCCATTTAGATAATTTCATATCAAATGGTTGATTCATCTCATAACTGTACTAAGTTTTATTGGTTATGGTGTAACAAAAGCTTGAGTAATTCAATTGATTAGAGCTCTTTAAATTTTGTAAATATAATTATTTTTACAAAAGGAAATTTTATCTTCCGGAAGTGATCTCTAATAACTTGGCATAGTGTCCATCATAATCTTCATCACAAAAAGTAAAGCCAAAGTAATTTATTTAATTAATGTCGTAGTTAATATCCCCGTCATATCAAAAAATCTATTGGCATACATTAAAAAATATATAATTAAAAATGTAAAGTTTATTATTATGTATTATTAAAAATAGGTGAAATCCAATTCCGACAATAATAATACCAATAACGAAGTATAACCATCATATACATGAAATTTCCTTAGATCACGATCTAGTGAGATTATTAGAATATCCAAAAGTTAAATTTTTGGAAGCTAAATAAAATGGTCCATGAAGCAATTACTTAAAGATATTTTTTACCTTCTTCAACGTAAAATTTACATCGTGATTTAAAAGATATGAAATTATTTTTATTTTTTTTTATTTTTATTATATATATATACACATATTTATTTATTATTTATTTATTCATATCAATTGACCGCAAATTTATTAATAGATAATAAATGAGTTTTGATTTTGGACTTTCGCGTCCATTACTAGATAAATAACTTACCGGGTGTGTGGTAATTCAGTCGTATTGCGCACCCGAATTATTATTAAAAGAATGATACAGCTATTGATATGTGGAAATTGGATGTGTATTTGGAGAAATTCTCCCATTTTTAGAACAAGATCAATTGGACTTATATTTAAAATATGTGGAGATTGACCAGGTTGTGCATCTATTATTAACGATGTTCAAGTTGTACTGAATAATTATAAAAGAAAGTGAAAGAGGAATTTGTTTCGATTGGGTAATTAATTTATAATCTAATTTAATTTAATTTAATATTAAATAATTTATTGTAAATAAAATAGGTGCAATGAACAAACACAAGATCTACTCGACAAATTATTAGTTCGCAATTCATAAAATCGAGCAACTGCTTTTGCAGCCTTGGGCCAATATTATTTCGAACCTTTACCGCTGATCTAAAGGAGTAAGTTTTTTCAAACTTTGATAAGTAGTAATAATTAAATAATTAGACCGCTTTTTTAAAAAAAATCTTTTTTTTTTTTGATAATATAGTCTTCCGAAATATGAAACCAGTCACACAAATGTGATAAAAGAATTCATACTCTAATACCTGGTGTTAAGATTTTTTGCAGATGCAAATAAATATTAAAAAAAAATAAAATATAAATATAAATAAAATTTTAAGACACATTCAAATCCATCATTCCAGAATCAGCAAACAAGATAAAAAAAAAAATAAATTAATATAATATAATTAAGTATAAAAAAGAAATATGGAATAAAATTTATTAAAAAATATAATTGATACTTACTAGTGTTTAAATCATCCATATATTTAGTTAATTCTTCAAGTTCTTTTTCAAAATTATCTTCGTTCTTAGGTTTTGGAAGACTTGAAAAATTAAGAAGTCGACTGGTGTAAATTGCTTGTGAATGTGTTTGATAATTGAATGGAGTTGTAATTGTATTATTAGTTAATGTAATTTTGTTATTATTTTCATGATCATTTTCATTATAATCATTCCAGTATTTAGATATCTCTGTATATAATTCTCTGAAAGTAGGTCTATGAGTAACTCTAGCATCCCAACATCTTATAATCATTCTGGTAATTAATTTTGAAGTGTGGAATGGAATTTTTGGTCGTAATCCATTGCATATTTTTATGGCTAAATCTTTGTCATGTGGTATATCATAATATGGGGGAAGACCTGTCACTATTTCGTAAGCTATTATTCCAAAAGAAAATACATCAGCAGCTTTTGTATATTCTTCTCCACCTAATACCTCTGGAGCTACATATGGTAATACACCAAAAATATTCTTTTTTTCAGGATTATTTGGATTTTGTCCAACTATTTTACTTAATCCAAAATCCGAAATACGTGTATTAAATGCTTCATTAAAATTATAAGATAAAATATTTCCAGGATGAAAATCCTGGTGAAGTATGTCTAATTCATGAATATTTCGAAAATCAAGTGATAAATAATACAAATATTTTAATTTCATTATCCAATTTATATTATTAAAATTATTTTTTAAGTAATCTCTAAGATTTCCACCTTTAGCATAATCTAAAACCATAATATATTTGTGTGTTTCTGGATCTTGCGTAATTCCATAAAATAGAATTGAACCAATATTCTTTGTTTTTAAGTGAACGACCATCTAAAAATATAAATTTTTTAGTTTATAGTTAATATATAATAAAATTTAGAAACAAAATTTACAATATTTTACCTCATTTAAGAATTCTTTATTTAAATTTGCAAAATTATCAAACTTTTTTAATACCACTTCATGTTTACCCCATCTTTCCCACTGTCGATTTTCAATATTCCATTTATATATTCGTCCATCAAGCCATTCAGCTAAATGTATTGTTCCGAATCCCCCTTTTGCTATTTGTTTAATGTATTTTAATTTATTATAAGGTATCCATTCTATTACTTTACTATTAAGATTTGCATTTAGTTGAGCATATTGAATAATCTTATCTATAGTTTCATTTCCACTTGTCCATTTATCAAAATTATCTTTGAAATGTTTCGAGTTGCATGGTTTGCACCATTTGAGAAAACTATGGCCTTGATTGCATTCTGGGCATATTTGTTCAGAGGACATTTTATTCACTTATATTATGAAAGTTTATTTTTTTTAAAAAATAAATTTGTTATGTTTTAAGTTTACACAACACAAAATTCAGCCATATATACAAATTTGGAATTTAAATGATATAAATGGCAGTTTCCTCGGATTTCGGGTATAGATTAATTTTTCACGCATGTATCTAACTACGCCAATTCTTCATTGGTGAAGCACTTCAATGAATTTTTGATTTATATATTGATAATTCTTTTTTGTTGAATATGTTTAATATATATTTTTAAATAATTTCCAATGCGTAAAATTAATTGATAATAATTTATTGATAATCCGCCGGCCAACTATAGAAATTTTTAATTTTTCTGAGTGCTTTCATATAAAACTTTTTTAATTTTTATTCAGAAAATATATAATTTTTTTATGAAAATTTTGAGGTATAAACCATTTATTTTTTGAATTAATTTTAAATATAAAATTACGTAAAAAATTATTGAAGAACTTTAATTATATAAAAAATATGTCCGATTTATGCTATGCAATCCATAGCAATTTTCAGTAAAGTTCTTGATGTGAAATAAATTGTTCAGTTGATGATGATTTCCCCTCGAAATGATAAAAATTTACTGATTTAAGCGAAGACTCTTTAATGCTTCCTTTTGACTAATGATAACCCATAATAATGAATTATAGTCTAGATGATAATTTAAAACAATTGAAGATTTTTCTAATCGTTTTTCAACATCAACAAATCTTTCTAAAAATTGTACTTGAGAATATGAATTCAAATTAAAATTCAAATCCATATTTAAAATATTATTACAAATTAGTGCTAATGATTTATATAATGGTCTCATTATATCCTCCGAAACAAACGTTTCTAATTTGTTAAATACTTTCGAGACATCGGGTAACTTGAGAATTGAACAAATTATTCACTATTCATGAAAAAATTCTCAGCCTAATTTCCGGGAATTTCCACCAGATTTAAAATAATCCAGAAATGAACAACGATAATTGTTAATTTAAATATTTACGAAGTAATAATATTCTCGATTCGTCAATATTATTATCATCTTGATGTGAACCCAATAATTTGTTGTGAATATATGAAAATAAAACTAAATAAATTATCAGTAAAAATTTTATGAGCGAATGATAAAATAATCAAAAGTAGCTTGAGTTGGTGATGATGATAAATCAAATCCGTTTGAATAAGCAAAGTTCTATCCAAACACATTCTTCTTCAACCTATTATTATCTAACCAATAATACTCTTGGTCCAAAAGTAATTCCCAAGTATAGGTATAGTAACTTTACACCAGATTCGATTAACTAAATTATATGTAATTCAATGCTTATTTTTAATAAAAATAAACAAAAATGTCACAACAACACTCTAAAAATTTTCCACTAATGATTTAGATTTTATATAATTGATCGATTAATTATTAAACCTCATGCAGCATAAGAATTTGTTAAAACCTGATTTCATTCTTTATATTAAAGTTTTTTTCTAAAACTGCAAAGGATATTTATTAATAGATAATAAAGGAATTCTTAATATTGTGAATTTTTATCCATTACAAGATAAATCACTTACCGGGTGTGTGATAACCCAGGGGAATCGAGCACCCGAATTATTATTAAAAGAAAGGAGATATGATACAGCTATTGATATGTGGACAATTGGATGTGTATTAGGAAGATCTGATCAAGATCAATTGGATCTCATATTTAAATTATGTGGAACTCCCACCAAAAAAGATTGACCAGGTTGGACATCTATTACTAATGATGTTCAAAATTGTACCGAATAATTATAAAAGAAAAGTAAAAGAGAAATTTTCTTTGATTGGGTATAATTGATTTACTATTATTAAAGTAAATATTTATAATTTTTAAAAATTTAATTTAAATAATTTATTATAAATAAAATAGGCGCAATGAACAAACACTAGATCTACTAGACAAATTATTATTTTGTAATCCACAAAATCGAGCAACTGCTTTTTCAGCCTTGAACCATAATTATTTCTTTACCGAAACTTTACCGGCTGATCCAAAGGGATAATTTTTTTTTGATAAAAAAAATAATAATCTAAACATAAAAATTAATTAAACCGCTTTTTAAAAATCATTTTTTTTGTAATTTATTCTTCCAGAATACGAAACCAGTCACGAATATACCCGACGAAGCCAAAGAATGATCAGCATTAGAAGTCATGATAACAACAGCAACTATATTAACAGCTGCAATAAATCATTATCATCATCATAATAATAGGAAATGGAGATCACCAGTAGAGACAATAATAATAATGATAGTTCATCATCACAAACTCCAAAAAATCAAGAACCGATGATATTCAAAATTATCATAATAATAGTAGTAATGATAATAGACGGTGATATTAATTTTCTAATACTATTGTTGTATTGTTATTATTAGTTCTTTTTTTTTTTTGTAATTTTAAAAAATTGTATGTTTACGAAATAAAAGTCAATAAAATTGAATTCGCGCGAAATGATGATTTTTGATAATGATTATTGTAAATGCGATTTCCCTTTATTAATGTTTATGTATTTAAATAAAATCTTAATTAAAAACTAAGCTAATTGAATTCATACAAATGTAATGAAGAACTCATACTCTATACCTTGTGTCAATATTTTGTTAAAAATAAATACTAATTCGTCCGAAAATAATTGCTAAAATTAAAATGCTAATTGTGGCACAATGAGTGATCTAAATTGTACAAACTTTTTTTTATTAGAGTTAATTAGTATCAAGATAATTTTTTTAAAAAATAATAAAAAATAAAAATATCGAATTTAAAAATTAGACATTTAAATCCATCATTCCAGAATCAGCTTAATAAGATAAAAAAAATAAATTAATATAATATAATTAAATATAAAAGAAATGTAATATAAAAATTAATAAAAATATAATTAATTCTTACTAGTGTTTAAATCATTAGTTAATTCTTCAAGTTCCTTTTCAAAATTTTCTTCATTCTTAGGTTTTGGAAGACTTGAAAAATTAAGAAGTCGACTGGTATAAAATGCTTGTGGATGTATTTGATAATTGCGTGGAGTTGTAATTATTGTATCAGTTGATGCTGCATTGGCTATTGTAGAAAATTCTTCGGCTTTTTTGATTTGAATTGTAATTTTGTTATTATTTTCATAATTTTTTTCCTGATAATCAAAATTGTACTTAAGTATCTCTTCACGTAATTCTTTAAAAGTACAGTGGGTGATCAAAAATCACAGACAGTTGAAAATTTTTAAAAAAATTACTAAAACTAAAATGCTGATTCTACCACAACGAATGATCTAATTTGCACAAACTTTTTTTTATTAGATTCCCCTAAACCAGAGCTATTATATAATATATTTTTTTTAAAAACTAAGTGTCTGTACATAGAGAAATTACGCTTCAAATAAAATTGACAAAAAATAAAAAATTTAATCTTTGAACGTTACCCATACCGCTTTCGATACACTTCAAAGATAGATACCAACTATCTTATATGAAATTGTAGCCAAGAGCAATATATACAACTTTAATTAGAAACACTTTTCATAGTGTCTAGTGAAATTTTTGACTTTAATTAGACGTGAACGAAAACGGCCGAAATTTATTAAAAATTTTTAAAAAATAAAAAAAAATCCGAAAATAATCATCAATCGTTTTTACATATAAAAGTATTTTCTTTACTAATATGATAATAAAAATGATACTAAGTAAAATTAAAGTTAAGAATATACTGTATCTTGTGTAAAGTATTCAGAGTTTTTTAATAAAATGTGAGCG